CGGTTACCGCGGTGTACGCTGCGTTTGTAATACCGCGTGTACGTGCGTGTACTTCCGCGTTGCTGCACCCACCCAGTGTACGTGCTGTGAACCCTGCTGTGTACCGTGCGTGTAAACCCGCTGTGACGTGCGTGTATCTGTGTGTACGTGGCCCGTGTCACCCGCGTGTACGTGCGCTGTATCTGGCGTGTACCCGCGTGTAGCGTGCGTGTAGTGCGGTGTAATCGCGACGTGCACCCGCGTGTACGATGTGTGTACCTGCGTGTACGTGCGCTTGTACCCGTTGTGTACGTGCGTGTTATCTGTGTTGTTACGTGCGGTTTTGCATTGTTGGCGGTGATGGGGTCGCTCTTTGTCCACCTTCCTGTTGTTGCAGTATGACTTCCGCCATTCCGCTTCGCACCATCCCTGTTGTTTACCCGCGTGCACGATGCATGTATCCGCTGTGTACTATCTCGCCCGCTCGACTAGTCACCAAGCGCGTGTAATCACTCACTCACCGGTGTACCTGGGCGATGCGACAGTGCGTGGTTTGTAACTCCGCGCTGTACAGTGGTGTATTCTGTCTGTTATGTGTGTGTTCATGCTACCCGAATGATGCTACGTGCTTGTATATCCGGCGTGTGTCCCGCGTTGTACGTGCGTGTACCGTGCCGTTTATCCTGGCGCTGCTCACCAGCGTGTATACGGTCGCGGTGCTACGTCGCGTTTGTACCTGCGTGTACCCTGGCAGCTTCACGCTGCGGGGTACCCGTCGCTGACGTTGCGGTACCGGTGGTACGTTGCTTGTACCCCCGGTGTGGATATATCTGTCGTTGTTTGTTACCGCGCCTTGTCACGTGCGTTGTATCGCTACGCGTCGCTACGTGCGATGTACCTGCTTTCCGCTGCAAACGGCCGCTCGCACGCAAAGTTAAGATCACTGTGATTTCCTCCCATTTGATCCTTGCTCTGCCTAAGTGGTTCTGCCCACTCATCCCGACACGCTTGTCGTTCATCATCTGTCACAACGCTCGGAAGAAAACGTATCAAGACTCACGGGGTTGATGATCATTCCCCCACACGCGAAGAAATGCGCTGTGTTGACATCGTCGCACCTACGCCTGTGTTTTGTGTCTGCGCCACATGCCAGCCGACTCTGGGGGCCGATCGGCTTGCGCCCTAACAGCATCAAAACACTAGGTCGAATGACTAGCAGGACCTTAAGCACAGCTGATACACTCGCCAGAGCCGGGTAGTACCGGACCGTAACCAGGGTACGTTCGGCGCAGTACCTGGGGACAAGAGCCCTAATGAGCGTAGTTTCATATGTATATATTTTATTATATAAGGTTCCTTTATTCTTTTTTAGTTTAGCTTTGCATATTAGTTCTTAACGTCTTTTTACATTAATAAATAGGTGTTGATGTAATTCTATTATGTAATGATCCTAGCAGCTTGCGGTTTTTTAAGGCAAAACTGTTGTCTAGCAACATGAAGATTAAACTAAGATAAAAGCAATGTTATTTTTTGACTATATACCAGGTGAAGAAATGGAACAATTTCTGTACGCCCTGAAAAAGATTCACTATTTTATATTCTTTATTCCTATTACATGTATTCATATTGATGCAAATTATATACTTCACTATAGTTGAGATGTACATAGACATGTACTGAAAAGGTGTTATTTCCGTTTTTCTTCCATTTAAAATATTGAAATTTTCACCTTCGATGTGCACCAGATCGCTCCAGTTCAGTGCAAGAATTGAAAAAGCTCCGTGCCGTGGGAGTGGGAATCCCCCTCCCACACCCACCCCCGCTCGGTCGCATGGCTCCCTCGCTCGGGCGCATGGCTCCCTCGCTCGGGCGCTTCGCGCCAGAATAACTCAGCCCCCCGGCATGGTCGCTTCATTCTCTCAATTGGGCCCCCCCACTTTGAAAACCGTGGCGCCGCCCCTGAGAGGGAATGATCTTTTCAGAAAAGATCGGGTAGGAGCACAGGGAGGAGGAGTACTATTACTAGTCCAAAACGATCTCCAAGCATCGACCTGTCCAAGACTAGAGGTTAGTTAGTTTGCTGAATCAGTATGGTGTGAAATCCAACTAACTGGAGAGGATGTTTTACTCATATGAGTGTGTTATCGATCACCAGCTAGTTCACAGGAGAACAATGAGGAGTTGATTGATCCATCCTCTAAGGTAGCGTGTTGACAGGAGACGATTATATATATATGTTCTGATTATGGGTGACTAATATTATACCTGACAGCCTGAGGTTGATTATGTGAACTATTGCACCAGTTGCAGCCCACTGTCATTCCACAGTACTAATAGTAGTACTACCACTACTAGTAATTATTGTAACATGTACTTGTAGTAATACTAATAGTAATTAAGTAATAGAAGTATTCCTAGGTCTGCATACAATTCAATTGTATCACCCTTGTATCTTGTATCTTGTATCTTCTATCTTGGTACCCTCTCTTGTATTTCACAAGGCACTCGATTCTACGAGGTGCGGGGTTTATCTAGAGAAAAGGAGATTATTAATGCCGCCTCTAGTTCTCTAGATGTTAGTGTTTCTAGTCACCAGTATTTTCCGTACATAATCTAACTGTGGTTTCAATAACCTGTGGTTGTCTCCTGTCCAGTTTTCTATTCGTTGTTCCTCCTTATATTTATTATAGCTATTCGATTTATATAAATGTTGCATGTTCCATGTTCCAAGAAACGGTATTGCTAGGGTTACTTGTAATACCCCTATACTAGACAACCCCTGCTTATATAGCAAGCAATTTACTCTACCTAGTTCCTGATACTGACAATGACAATGGCAGTGGGAGATTATAGTGGTAGGGGTGCATTAGTCGGAGCCGACGCAGACCCCAGTAATGGGGGTCATGATAAATCTGCACCCTCACATTAGCAAAGCGGAGTTATAACGTCTGCATTTGCGGACTAGGGGTGCATATGATATAAGGCAAGGACACATAGATGATAGAGATGGCAGATAATGTGTTAATTGTTTATATATAGAAAAAGAAGCTCTTAGGAAATGATTACATACTATATATAATGCTAATGAAGTAAGCTGTATTGAAATGCTGAGCTTTCGCCTTACTGCTGTCATCCAAAATCGAAAATCAAAATACTAACTCATCGTACACTCAGGATACCACTGCCACAATGCTAACAGTATTTTTAAAGTGGGCGGAGCTCCGGGGAAATGCAGCGAATGGCGATTCTTAAACAGCGTATGATTTGAAAGAGGTAACTGGGCGCAGAATGCGCGTACTATTTCGTATCACCTACCCGATCGCCAAAAATATTAACATACATAATAATTAAGCAGCATAGCTGGAGCTGCAGTACTGACACGACGAAAACACACAAATATACGATGTATGAACGCCACGGCAGGTCACACACCGACGAACGTAGCCGTAACTGCACCGACGTCGACGCACCACGCAGGCTGGCAGCACGGACATTTGTAATGGTGCATGATATGTGTTTTCTATTGTTGTGTGTGCGTCCGCTCCGCCTGCGTGCGTCAAGCATGTGCTTAAAATGTCTCATATACGGAACCAATATTTTCAGAAGTCACAAAATCCATTTGTGCATTGCTCAACAAAATATTTTTTAGCCTGCCACAAGTCATGGCCTAACATATAAGTAATAGTCATGTAACATGCAAATATACACAGATAATCATCAGGACGCTATTGACCTATTGACAAATAATTTGTCATTATTACCTCCTCATTCTTTGTAATACAGGTCTCTCCCTACGCTCGCGCAAAACAGGGGCGCGGAAAGCCCGGCGGAGCGGGACGGCCGCGGCGCGGCCCCGGCCCCCGGGGCGCGTCCGCACCGCCACACGGGGAAAGAAGCGCGAGAGCGGAGCTGAAGAGCAGCACGCGCGGCACGTGCAGCGCCCCGTTTGGAAAACCCCCCGCTGTTTGAAATCGTTGCGCCCCCGTTTTGGAAAACTCCCCACCTGTGAATCGTTGCGCCCACGCTTTAAATTCTCACCACGCAGGATAAAAGTTTGCCAGCGCCGGGAATCGACCTCGTGCAAGAATTGCGCGTTCGAGCCAGGAACATCCGACGCGTGTAAATTTTTACCGGTACCACACGCATGCACTGAAGACAGTACAACAAGTTAACCTGTCACTGAACTGTACAACCGGACATCGCTTATCTTATATATAACAAGACCCCAAATACCGTCTATGGTGAGGTGGCGATCTTTACGCATCCTAATTGATCGTACGGTAAAAAATACACGCCCCCGGCACCCCACTAGTTTCCCCCTCCCCCCTCGCCCTTACCCTCCCGCTCTCCCCTGCTCCCCCATGTTGAACATTTCATCCTGGGAGAACGCCTGTATTAGGTCCAACACGTTTTTTCTTATACGTGATTAGAGGTGTATCAATTTCGCATGTTATTATATATAAAACCGCAGCTTTATGACTCCCTGCAGCTGCCGCTCCGTTACATGAAGCGCTGACGGCGCATAATCAGAAATACAATTCGTAATAGAACTTCAATACAACACACAGTGAGAAGTAGAAACTCGTTACACTTTTTATTATATTTTCATATGAACTTCCAAACAACAGCAGCTCAATGCAGCTGAGCTCTTTCATTGTATTCCCGGTAAAATTGTCGACTGTTCGCTGGCAGCTATGGATCCGTTCGCCGGCCTATGCATTCGGCGCACGGGTCCATAGCTGCCAGCGCTGCATACTGTCGTAGGACGTTCCCGCGGTCGCGTGCGCCTTGCCGCGGAACTGCGCGCAAGATCTGCGCTGAGCGCATCGGAGCAACACCTCCTTTCGGCAACGCTTCTCTAGTATCCCGTCTCATCTGGTTGTTGTTGTAGGCATTGCTAGTTGTAGAATATACTGTGCCCCCATTTTTCATTCAACATAACATATATGTCTGACCAGAGCATGCAGTTCACAACTTGGTTGTCTATAGTAAAAGTGTAATTTTTGCATTGGTATTGACAGTTGACAGTTGCAGACAAGTCACAGAACTTGAGAAGACTTCAGGCCCAGCGTAATGAACTAAATGCGAAAGGTATATAATATCCATTAGCATAAAATTTGACTTATATATATTATTTAATGATGTTTATTAGTTCACATGTTCTGTACTTAAAAGCATACTAGGCCCATTGATTAATATGCAATGTTGACGAATGCTAGAGTAACTGGCACCTTGTGTAGTAAATAAGTGCATAACCTTATAGCCAAATGCGTATTAGTTTGTCCAATATCACTGCTGGTTACATTACAAGCAAGACTTGAAATCGGTTGTTGATATTCATTTACGTGCCGTAAATGTCATCCGGGAGTCAAGCGATGACGTAAACATTTATGCGGCCCGTATGTTTTGGACGCCAGATGAAATGGAGGTGTCAGCTGTGTAACCACGACCACGGACTAAACATGGAAATGGAGTAAAACACACGTACTAATCACAGACGCACATGGACAGCCCTGACAAAAAGTTCCTTATCACGAGCGTCCGTGTTTACGAAATTACTGATGATAGCATTGCGTACGGCTGAGCATGTGTGCAAAAATGTCCGGTACACTATAAATCTGTATCACACCCGCTTCGTCGGCAACGGTTTGAAACTGTAAACAACTGATTTCTTGGACTGCGGATTTCAATTAGACATTTTTTAGTAACCAGCAGTGATATTGGACAAACTAATACGCGTTTGGATGTAAGGTTATGCACTTATTAACTACACAAGGTGCCAGTTACTCTAGCATTCGTCAACATTGCATAATCAGTGGGCCTAGTATGCCTTTAAATGATTTTTAATATAACTTTTTTATTATTATTATTAAATCTTTCTTGCAAATAATAAAAATATAAGGAATGTATGGGGCATGAAATTCATATGTTTTTGCACCGGCCCAGAGGGCCGGAACAGCAGTTTTTTCGCTAGCCCTCAAATTTGTTTCCTTCAAAAATAAAGATAAGACAAATTCACTGACTCTTGCTTGTCTGAAAAATGTTGTAGTGTGCGGCATCACATAGTAGCTGTTGAACAGACTATAATGCAGATCGTGAATGATGTCTGAAGTGTTTTTCTTGATTGTCATGTTTCACACCTGCATTATCGATTTCAAATTTGTAAATGTTGATAAAGTGTGGCATGATATCCTTCAGGTAAAAAACAGTAATGTAGGCTATTTGCTCATTGCTATAAATAAAATGTTGGTACTCGCTAACACGACTGAAACCACTGGCTCTGAGGGCTGGTGTTTTGCCAATGTTACTGGCCCTTCAAATAATTTGCCGGCATCTGCCGATGGGCTGGTGCTTATTTCGCGCCCTGATTTACGTAAAACAGTCTTTTTCATGCAGAAAAAATCGAATGGATGCAATAGTGTTAGGTTAGTCAAAATACTAGGATTTCCAAGTAATGCAATAAAATACAATGCTATACAGCACGAACAAAATAAAATAAATATTTATAACACCTGTGTACTGTAAGTAAAGTGGTCTGTATCAGTCTTCATGAAAAACTTTTTGAGCTACCCCGGGCAAGTATTCTGCAAAATGTACATGACCGAATGACATTTAAGTTGCCCATATATTTTGCAGTTTTTGGAATATATCGAGTAAAGAAGTGTATACCAGACAACTTCTAGACGCCATTCGTTTCCGGTGTTAACATTTCGTCATTTTAACTTACAAACCTTTAGTTAATGGCAAGTTTCTTATACTTTATGAGTGTTTAAAGCAGGAGCCCATCGGACAAGTGAGCTTGCAATGTTTACATCCCTGCCGAGATTTCTACACATCTCGGGCGTCGGACCCCCGCCCGGCTAAAGTCGAAGACTTCTGTATATGAATGTGTACTATAATATAATAATTTCTACATACGAACACACACACTCACGCACGCACAAATGCACGTACACATTCGTATACATACATAATTAAGTGAGTAAGTGATTTTAAATGGATACGTACACATTCGTATCTATATCTGTTTATCTGTCTGTCTATCTATCTACCTACCTACCTAGCTACCTACCTACCTACCTGCCTATCTATACACACACACGCATGCATGCACACACACATATATATATTCAGTCAGAATATATTGTAACTAAGGTAGCTGCCGATGACAGTAGCAACACTTGAGCTTGCAATAGTAGCGAATATGGATGGATGGATGGAGTAACACGAGAAGGGAAGCTGACTGAACATAGAGCACGGGTGTCTTGACTATAAAGTATCAGCAATTGGCTGTTTGACCTGGTGTACGTGCTATGCCTTTGCATTGGCTGGATGACTTATCTGGTAAAGAATAACCCAGTTGGTGGCCAATTGTCTTCTGTCATATAAGACGGACTGAGCAGTTAGTAGTTAGCCAAAGAGCGAAGAGCGAGGAAGATGCTAGCTCGTTTGGTTACCGAATTTGGTAATGTGGGAAAACTACGTGAAATGAAGGAAACAGAGACGACCTGTTTCGGGAGCTCATATATAAGAGCGAGCGCGTGTTGATTAGGGAGGGAGAGAAATAGTAGAGTAGTTAAGAGAGTAGAGAGTAGACAGAATGGACTAACCGGTCGAGTGTAGTTGTACGGCTATAGTGATCTTGTGTTAGAAGTGTTAAAGTGATTACGTCACCGTAAATAGTAAAACTAAAAAAACATTTCCACTTTTTCACAAAATGCAAGTAATTCTGTTCACTTTTTATGGTTAAAAATTGCTGCATTATACTTCCTATTTTACTATATTGTTCGATGTAAACATACACTCGTGACTCATACATAGCCCATAGTAAGCAATTAAAGGCATAATAGGCCCATTGATTATACAAAGTTGACGAATGCTACAGTAACTGGCACCTTCTGTAGTTAATAAGTACATTACCTTATAGTCAAACGCGTATTAGTTTGTCCAATATCACTGCTGGCTATGTATTCTAAACACATGCTGATACAACAGCGGACACAAGTTCCATTGCCAATTCCCATCGAAATTCGACTTACCCTATCGTGAAGTGTACATGTCTAAGGTTAATCAGGACCAATAATCAGTTAACGGTAGGCTATAATGAGTGTAAAATGCATAGAAATCTATCTAACCCTTGGCTATCAGTGGCAATGGCCTAATAG